AGTTTTATACTTCTAATACAAATTGATAATACAATTTTTACAAGGAAAAAAATGTTAAGGTTGAAATACGTATATAATTCAGCAAAAAATTRTCTAATTTGTAATAAACTAAATTAATCATTTAYGGCAGTTACCTAGATTGCCTGATATGATGCTTTTCAAGTAAATTATCCTCGTGAATTAAGCATAGGTACCTACACTTTTCTATCAAAAACATTTTTGTTTAACAATATCAATGTTCAGTTTGCATCGTATTMAACATTCCACAAAAATAGGTACAGATGCATTGAAGCCCGAAHTCAAGTATTACATCATTTAACATTAATTAGTAGGTGCAATTTAAAAAATACAATTAAATGTAATTATACTTACTTTCGTCATCTTCATAGGTGTATTAAAATGWATAAAAAAGTTAAATAAAACTTCACAATTCTAATCGGTACATTGAAAAAACCGGCAATAGACCTATTAAAATTAAGTCGTTTTCATCTAAACGTGTTGAGATGTCACGATTCACGATCACAAATCACAATGGTCAGGCGGGTATCATAACAAACATATCATAAATCACATAAATGATAAAAATAATGAACAATTTAATTGGTATATYATGATAACACTTCACACTAKTCACAAAAATTAACAGATCAAAATGTTGGTTCATAAAAAAAAAGATAATGATATTTTCTTTACATAAATAAGTGTGGTGTATTATAACAGAATTTGTATTAATTACCTACACAGCCATTCGTTGTCTCCGTCTTATCAGTGCGTAACATGGAAAACTTTCGCCGAGCAGATCACATTTAACTCTGTCAATTCAAAAATTTGAGCGAATCGACCTATTATGAAACTTTATGGTAAGAATATAATCAGTGTTTGTATGTAGGATTTTTACAGTTGTTCAATTTTRTAGTAAGTTATAAATAAATAATAAATCGTAAATAAAACATGCTCATAACTCCTTTAAAAATTGAACAATCGTAAAAAGCCCACATACAAACACAGATAATGTTTTAACCCTCCAAATTCAAATTACATAATATGTAAATTCACTCAAATTGAAAAAATCGGAAGTAAACGTGATCTGCTAACCGTAAACTTGCTATGTTTCGCASTTGTAAGAAGGAGACAAGAAATATCTGTGTAACGTCCTCTTTCAAGAGTTTCAAGAATTATTTAAAGCATATTCAAAATTATCACAYAATAGGACATGGATACAAAATTAAGTACCTGGTACTGGGTAGATAAGTAAATAATTATGTTATACAAGACAAGTTTAATATTCATAACATTATTTCTTAAGTTAAAAAACATGATGGTTGGACTTCACAATAAGTATCTACGCACTAGTATCGACAGCGTACTTTATTGTATTTTAATGGTTATCCGAAAGATTTATCATTGAAATATTCAAAATATAGCTAATATTCAATGTTTTAAAATTTTTTTTTAGTGTTAAAAATAAAAAAACATTATATAGGTATAAAATTATAAAATTATTTATTAAAAATATTCAAAAAGTAACAAATAACAAATAATTATAAATGCGCGGATCGAAATGATGAGTGCGGTAGGGAGGCGACTTGCAAATGTTGAAAACGGACTTGCTAATACTTGAAATTWCTGGGGGATGTTTTGGTACAGGTTTGGAGTCGTTCGGGTAAATCGGTAGGGCCAACTTCACGGCAAAAAACCACCCCTGTGAGGAAGGGAGGAGACTTGCAAATGTTGAAAACGGACTTGCTAATACTTGCAATTACTGGGGGATGTTTTGGTACAGGTTTGGAGTCGATCGGGTAAATCGGTAGGGCTACGTGAAGTTGGCCCTTACTTTCATGTTTTTTGTTTTTGACGAAACTGCTGACTTGCAAATTGTATTAATGAACTTGCAATTACTTGCTAATAACTTGCTAAATATTGATTTATGTTTGAAGTCTTTAGCATTTGCTCGGAGGGCCAACTTCACACACGTTAAGTTGATGCATGAAATAATGGATTTAAAACAAGTAATTATTGATAATTTTGTTAATAGAATGTTGGGTTCTTAATAAAATATTATTTGCTTGGTACTAATAATGTAATTTAATTTATAATAATTATTAATTGAGTTAGGATGTTGATGACTTGCATTTTTTTCCTTTGATTCTATACAATGCTATCTTAGCTAAAAAATTTGATTCATGCTCCCTAGATAGATATTGTTTATTAATAAAATAATTCATATTTTAAATTACTATTATTTATTTAGATTTATTAGATTGTTTTTAAAATCATTTTATTATGTTTTTAAAGCATTTTTGTGTGTTTTTTTAGGTCATCAACATCCTAACTCTTTTTAT